TCCGCCTGGTGTGGAACCTTGCCTCCTGAGCTGACTCAAGAATGGTAGGGACTCTCACTGTCATTATGCCATGCCCCAGGTAGGGCCTTCATCCTAAATGTAGGTGCTGGAGCAGGAGGAGGGAGCAATTGTTTTCGAACTTTGCTCTGAATCTTAGTCTTTATATGCATAACATTTTCTGGAAACACAGGTGGGTATACAGAGAGTATGCTCTGGTCCTGAGTTTCTTATGTTCCAGGGTGGCTTAGAGGTCCTTGTGCTTACCAGGGAAGGGCTTATTCCACTGAGCTATCTCCCCGGCCTCAAAATATCCTTAACTTTGTCCTGTGATAGTGTGATGAGTTTGGTTTTTTCACCTGTGAAATGAAATGAAAATAAAAATACCCTATGGTGTCATTGTGACGTTAAGTGAGATTGGATAAGTATCCAGCTACAATATATGAGTTTACATATATTTTTTCTACAATTAGGTAAATTTTTAATGAAATTTAATGTGTTTATGGTTAAAGAAAATGTTGCAGGAACATAGAGATTAGTAAGACTTCTTGTTGTAGACCCAGGGCCCTTCCTTATAGTCTATGCCAAGACATAGTTTTGAACAACTTCTAGTAATTATTTAAGTACATGTATACTTGTATATATAGTTGTATATTTTATAACTAACATCTGAGTGGGTCATAAACATATTGCCCTGTGTCTTGAGGTTTTCATTTAAAGATAGATTCTGATAATTTTCCTATCAGGAAATAGAGGCTTTTTATACATTATTCTTTTTATCTTAATGGTTGTTGAGTTTTCTGTTTGAATGTATCATAATGAAACTGATATTTTCCTCCAGTACTTATATGTGTTTAGTTTTAAAATATTTTTTCAAAACTTTTCTTTGTTTAGGATCAACGTACTATCCTGAAAATCCATTCCCCTAAGAAGAAGGGAGAGAAAGAAAGACTGCTTTGTGAGAAGGGCTTGGGTGTCCCATGAACCAGCTAGCAGAAAGCCGGTCGGGGTGCAGCAGGACTCCAGAGCCAGATATAAGGCTCAGAAAAGGGCACCAACTTGATGGTACAAGAGGAAGTGATGATGACAACCACCAAGGAGATTTGGAGCCCATTTTAGAAGCATCTGTTCATTCTTCCCATCATAAAAATGTAGGTAAAGTTGGAAGTGGGTAGTGAACAAAATAATAATAATAATAATAATAATAATAATAATAGCCAGAGAGATAACTCAGAGGAATAAGTACCGACCTGGCAAGCACAAGGATTTGAGTTTGATCCCTGGCCCCACATGCTGTGCAGTCTTGGCTCTGGATGCCCAGGCACACTGTCTCAGCCCCAGATGTGGGTGCCCACCGTGTGGTCCTGGAACTGGGCTGGTGGCACAGGCCTGTAATCCCAGCATTTGGGAGGTTGAGCCAGGAGGATCTCTGAGTTCAAGGCCAACCCAAACTGCGTAGTTGAGACCCTGTCTCAAAAAAAGATTATTACTATTTTGTGTGTGTGTATGTGTGTGTGTGTGTGCGCGTGGGGGTGGTGGTGGTGGTGGTACTAGGGATAGAACTTAGAACCTTGTTTTTGGTAGGCAGGCACTTATGCTGCTGAGCTATCTCCCCAACCCAAAGCAAAAATTATTTAAGAAGGAGAATACTAAGAAGTATGTATATGTGTATATGTTGCCATTAGTAGAGGATATAGAAGATAAGGTGTCAGTTTTTTTGTTTTTATTTAATTCAGAATAATTGAGTCTCTCATTAGGTATGTGCTCAGGATTTTATGATTACCCTTTTCTGCTGACACTTAAAAATCATACTTAGGGCTGGGGATATAGTAGTATAAGTGCCTACCTGGCAGATGTAAGGTTCTGAGTTTCAGCTCTGATACCACACACACACACACACACACACACACACACACACAGTGAAACACACATAGACACACACACTTTAATCTGATTTATAATGAGTATGCTTTAACTATCAGTGATATTTTTAGAAAAATTCTGATTGTATGCTAGAGCTATTTCTCAATGAACTATTTATTTCTAGTGCCTATCTTGGGGGTCTGTAGAATTCTAGTAACAGAAAGTAGATTTTAAAATTCCCTCAAAAAGTAAATAAATAAATAAAGTTCCTTCAGATTTCTCAGAGGAAAGAGCAAATTTTAATCAGGTAACTTTACTTAGAGGGGAAAAGTACAAATATTTGTGAACTGCACCAGAAAGTTATTGTTACATTTTGCTGCTTTGGAATGCTTGCACTAAGTAGTGTGCATTCAGGTTGTGGCACTAATATAGTTTTTTTTTTTTTTTTT